GGCCCTTGTATGTACAGTATGTATGCATGTGAGATAGGGACCTTAGATTGTAAGCTCCTGGAGGGCAGGGACAGATGTGAATGTGCACTGTGAATGTGCACTGTGTAAAGCACTGGGTAAACTGTCAGCGTTATATAAATACCTGCAATGAAAAAAAAAAGTACAGCTCAAAAAGTCACAGTACCCCCCCTGACAAAACTTCAAATTTCCTTTCTCCCCATCAGGCACCACCCAAGGTCAGCATCTACTTCCTGAACTACAGTAAGAAGTTGGCCCATAGATGAATTCGGGTGCCTGCACCAGAGTTTTTAAACGTCTTGGCTGTGAGTTGTTTGTATTGTCTCACATGGATCATACATACCCCACCATCCGCCCCAACACTGCTGCTGCTCAATGCAGGCAAGTTACAATGTTATAATTTTACTAGTGAGTGTTCACTGCTTTCCTTCTGCTTGCAGCAGTTTGACAACTTAATTGTCACAGCATGCTACTCTTATTTCTAAACACAATCACTAGGGCCTGGAGCTTAATTTTTAATGATAAATTGTACCATTTCTTATTGGAAATTATAACTAGCAAAAGTGTGCCCCCAAGTTGTAGATGGGGGTTATGATGATGGCAGCTGTGCTGGTGAGAGCAAGTTAAATGAGGTGGGGGGCAAGTGTAGTGGTGACAATAGGTTTGAAGGGGGAGCAGTAAGTATTGTCATGTGCTGGGGGTATCTGAAATGGTGCTGGTGGAATGGCTAGAATTTGTGGGTTGTAGAGTGGTGAAAGAGTTACAGAGTGGTAAGTGTCAGTAATGTTTAGTGTACAATGGCAATAACCGCACTCACCACTTTGGCTGCATGCCCTCCTTAACATCAACAGAAACTTTGTGCCCATGGGTACAAGTATGTATATGTGAACCCCAGAAGTCATTACATGATGGAGGCATGCGCAGGCACATATTCACATTACATGAGTGGGTCATAATGCTTACATCACAGTTTAAGGGGTGGACCCAAGCATGCTTTCAAATACATTACTGTGCATATGTGGAAATACATTCCTGTATTTCTCTCCATAATAAGTATGGGATCATAATGTTACTATATGATGTTATTCCATTTTCCCATATAATATACAGACTCGTGAAGTTACTTGTAACTAACTACCTTTTACCTTATGTTGACAACTGACTTATTGGCTAAACGTTCCAGAGCAGTCAGCCTCTGGAACGCACTGCATCACATTCCAGCTGGCTTCCTGCATTCAGGGGCAGAAGGGGGCGTGGTGGTGCATTGAAGTCAATGGCACCGCAGCAACGCCCACCGCCCACAGAGCAATCACCTGCACCAGAACGCAGGGCACATCAGTGCCTGCGTTCCGGTCTAGTGCGATCTGAATAGCAGCATTTTTCAGATCGCACTGGACCAAAACGCGTTGTGGTGCAGGCTAATGCACTGCGAGCTGGGGGCATGACTGTGGTGCCATTGACTTCAATGCACCGCCACGCCACCCTCCGCCCCTGAACGCAGGAAGCTGGCTCTGGAACACACTGTTTATGGAGTGAACCGGCCCTCAAGGTCCCCTTTAAACAATCTAATCTGAAGATGAATTGATTCTAATGGTAAAATGTATGAATGCTATATGCCCTGGGTAACCATATACATCAGCAGTAGGTAATGAAGGTTTTCAAACCAGTAAAACATCATGTGCTCCATACATTAAGATCAAAACACTCAGAAAGCAGTTTGTGCCATTAATCACTTTGTTATCACAGCTTCAGCAATATGCTAATTCTGTGTGAGAATATAAAGACATACTCACACTTCTGCCTTGGCTGACTAAGAGAATGTAACGATGGAATGTCTAGTATTAAATAGGAATATGGAGATATTGTTGTTGTTTTTTTTCCAAATTCCATAAAGATCTGACAGCTGATAACGTGCTGTCATACTACACGCTCCACAAATACAATTTCCAACACCTAGGTCAATGAAAGGAAAGCTTACATTTCTGTTCTAGTCAGGGTAAGGTTTGCATAATACTGAATTGCATAACCAGTCAGAGCAAAGAGTATGTTTTTAATGACAGGGGAGATTATACTGCTCAGTCTCTGTCAAAGGCTTGGAACATGGGGGAATTTATGTGATAAGGGCACAAGGCCACATAGCCAAGGCACATGCTTATTAACTCTTGCAGTATGGAGCTCAGCTAAACGTTGTGGCTTTTTATAGAGATCTAAAAATTCTGGGTTTTTCCTATGTTGAACTTTGCCATTCATTTGCAAAATATTATAGTCATTTCCCACTTATTAATAAAGGTTTTACCCATCATAATCCAGTGTTTTTGGTTGGTCAAAGATAGTCTTTTATCGGCATCACCTCCATAGGGATAGTGTACACAGGGATATGATTATTGAAGGTCAAGTTATGCTTTGCTTTTAGCCATAGAAGGTAATGTGAATCCGTGGTAAATTATGATATATCCATGGTAGATGCATAGCACACAACCCCATGAAAAACTCTCCTTGCAGTGGGGCTGCTCCTACCCTGCAAGGGGTAAATGAATACCCAGGTAAATATGTTTCATTTTTCTGATCCCCACTCCCCTGGCAGTCAGTGCTCACCTCATCTCCCCTACGTGGCAGCTTGTGGGTCGTCCCTTCGCACCTCACATATAATGCAGGGCTATGGGCCTTCCATATTACTTGATGATGTCAGTGGACCTCCGACCACCAGAGCAGAGGGGGGAAGAATCTGCAGGTGCCAGTCTCAGAGGCTGGAGGGAGCATGTGGGAGCAGGGATCAAGAACATCTAGGTCCTTCTTTAAGGTAGCCTAGACCTAAAGAAGCATTTAAGCCTTGCAGTGCGAGGTCAGCCCCACCGTAAAGGGATGTGGGCCCACCTCCCATCCTTATACAAGCCTGAGCTATACTCTTCAGAAACAAGATGGTACTCCATTAAATGGGGGCAAATATGAGTTTTGGAGGGGGGTACAGTGGTGAGCTGTGGATAGGGGGTGCAGATATGAGCAGTGGAAGGAGGGGCTTCCGGTGAGCTGTGGACAGGGGACACCGAGGTGAGCTGTGGATGGGGGGCACAGAGGTAACCTATGGATGGGGGAACAAAGGTGAGCTGAGGATGGAGACATAGTGTAGCAATGAGCTGTGGATGGGGGGCGCGGAGGTGAGCTATGGATGGGGGGGTGCAAATGGATGGAGCTATGGATGAGCTATGGATGGATGGACAGAGCTGAGCTGTAGATGGAGCCGCAGTAGAGAGTTGTGGACAGCGGGCACAGACCTATTAGCCTGCTGCCAATTGGAACTGGCCTTGCTTGAATAACCTATGCCCCAGGAGTCTACTCCCGCACTGCAAGGGTTAACTGCTTGTTTTTGTGTAGGGGTATTTTGTAAAGGACTTTTACTTGTGTGTTTCCTGCTCCATGACAGGTGTCCACAGCCTTTTCCTCCCCCTTCGCTCTGGCAGTTGGAGGCCCCCTGACATCATCACGTCTAATGAAGGGCCCATTGCCCTATATGTAAGGACACCAAGAGATGGTCCAATGGAAGGGAAAGAGGAGAGTGCTAACAACCAGGGGAGCAGGGAGCAGGTAATTAAAGAGAACTTTACACAATACCCCTAGACAAAAAAAAAAGCAGTTAACCCCTTTCAGAGGGGGTAGCTACACTAGTAGGGTAGTTTTATTTTACTTGGATATAGACTTTAAATAGATGGCATCAGAGCAGTGTAACTGGGCTGTAAAGGTTCCTTATGATGTATGCACATTTTAATTGTATGCAATTACAAAAAAAGACAAATATTACTCTGCAATAAACTGCACTGCTCCGATTGTACAAGGGAAGTGCAGATCCATCACCTAGGGTCCATTTATCAATATTGTCACCCAGGATTTACACAACTTTCACCCAAGAGTCACACATTCTTCTAATTGAATCCTATGTGAAAAATGTGTAAATCTTGGCAAAATGTCATGTGAATCGTGGGTGAAAACATTGGTAAGGAGACCTCCTAGTCACTAGTGTTCAACTATAGAACATAATTCATTAAAATGAATGGCAGGGGAAAAAAGGTTAAAAGGTGAAAAGTTGTTCAGATTAGCAAACAAGACAAAATCCAACAGCATATGGATTTTGTCATGAAAAGCAACACTGCTGTGGGAATAGAATAGATGCAGAATTTGTATTGATAATTTAAAAGAGGTGAGATAAATAAAGGCAAAAAGCAGCAAACTGTCAGTTTTCATTATAAACACAGTCATTAGGAAAGGATTAATTCAATAAACTCAGGAAACATTAGAGATGTTATAATATTCTATATAAATATTGTCTACATCTGAACATGGGTTCAGTCTACCTCTCTAACCTTCCACAGCCACAATCTAACAGGACAGAGAATGTAAACACGCTCACAGGCACTTTCATCCCAGGCTGACCTCCATCTCTGACACTAAGCACCTCTGGGGATCAAGCTCAATTCTGTTTAACGCTCATGAATAATAAAGCACAGACAAACCAATGACATAAGAAGAGCTTCACATACATTGGAGATTCCATATGGGCCAAGCCAGCTTCAGCACCACAATGGTGAGATGCTGAAAACCATTACAACATGCACTCCATGTCAGGCCATTGTGGAAACCGGTTTTAAAACACAACAAAATAAATAAACAAGCTATACCCAGTATTAATGGTTTCTGATCTATATGATAAATAACACTAGAACATGGTGTTTACACTGCCTGCACACACATATACACACATTCACCAAGATAGAGAATGTACTCTATGTGAGTTTATAAATGTGACACAGGCATGTGACAATTGATCATTTGTGTACAATTTTACACACACACACACACATTATATATATATATATATATATACACCCCTATACATACATAATACATACACACTCACACATACACAGAGCTGTCAGTGTCATGGATCATGGGATGTAGGATCTGGTCCTCTATTGTCGGTCGTGCCTTACCTGTTCTCCGAAGTCGATGGCGATATTGGTGATCCCCAAAGGAACCAAGAAGCGGATGAGTGGCCAGTAAGGGGTGAGTGCTGGGAATTTCACCATAGTACCTGTGTGATGATGGAGAAGAAGACAACACACTCATGTGATGCAGCAGGGAGCACAGTGCACAGCAATCCCCGAGTGGCTGGTGACAACCTGCAAAAGGATAACGGTCCGCATGTGGATGTCTAGCAAGAAATGTAAAAGATCAGGACCATCCCTGCCCTCCCACACAGCGATGATCTGCAGCCAGGAGGAGGAGGCACGACACAAATATCTGCTGACAGATATTCCATCACCAGGGAATGAAGAAGAGGAAGAAAACACGATCGGCGTGTCAATAAAAGCCAGCCGTGGAAAAGGCGTGGAAGCCGAGCAGAACGGTTGCGGGTGTAATTATCATTAAGTTACTGATCATGTGTATGACTGCTGGCCTCCTCTCCTCCCCCCATCTAGCGGTCGGAGCATGACAATGAAAGGGGGAGGACGCAGCCAGAGCCTGAGCTCAGGAGGGACACCGTGTGGCCGTATATGGGAAGAACAAGTAAACAGGATGTGAGCATGCTCTGCTGAGATGCCATGGGATCTGGTGCCCACTCTATGCTTGGAAATTAGTCTGCGGCCCATGCTCTTGAATATATAGAAATGTCTATGAACTGACTTAAAGCGGACCTTTACCCCCTAACTAAATATCACATCAGCATGCAGCTCTGCATGCTGATATGAAATCATCGTACATTCATTAGCTAAACCAACATATTGTCATTTACTTACAAATAGAGTTCATCTACTTCTTGGTCCAGTTCTGGCACAAATTATGTAATTGTGCCCAAGGGTTCCATCCTGGAAAGAGTACATCAGCATCTCATCTGTAATATCAGGAGATCTCAGGGAAAGGCATTTTCCTCCTCTAAGATGATGTGCATGTTCACATGTCCTAGTCACATGTGCCAGAGTTCCAGGAAGTAAAGGGAGATCTAGTAACCTGCCATTAGTTAAAATGACCAATGTGAGAAGAATGGGGAGAAAAAGAAAAACAAGGAATACAAAGCCTGCAATTATCTAGAAGTATGTGTTTGTAGCTTGCCATTACTAAACATTTCTAAAGGTGTGTTTGTTGCTATTTGAAAATATGGGTAAAGTTCCTCTATAAGACAAACTTTACCCACCAATTTATTGTCTCCCAAAATAGTTATTTTTAAGGCACGCCAGCTATTAAGGTTGTCATTGTGCTTATTTCAGCCCTCAACAGAATTTTTAAGCCCCCAAATGGCTGATGTAATAGCTGATCACATGTGCAGCACCATGGCGACTGCAGTCCAAATAGAGCCTAAGATGGCACCTTCCTTGGCTGTTAGGGATAGGGGGCGTAGTTTCAATTTATGTCTTATGAAATGTAGATTTCATTTCAATTGCATCTATCATGCATCCAGGCACAGTGATCTATTCCTAACCACATGTGATAGTATCACATACGATTACATGCATTCTGCCACTTTCAAATGCAGCCGCTGTCACCCGATCATTAACTTGAACAGGTGACAGCGGCCGCTTCTAAATGGCATATTTGGGATACCAACCACAAGCGTTCGTAGGTTCTTGCCACAGGGTTCTAAAAAAATTACATAACATTAGGTGTGAATGAAGCCTTACAGTCAAATTAGTTTAAAAAAAAAAACATAATATGTTTTTTATGTTTCCTTTCACACAGCATAACGAAAAATAACTTAAAAATGTAACGTCTCTAGGTGTTTGTTTGGAGCAGGATTACACTGTACGTAGGACACTACAGACAGCTTCTAGTGGTTAGAATAAATACCAGTGCACAGATAATTGCACAGACTGAGGAACAGGGTTTTTTTTTAACCCTTTCGCTGCCATAGCTGTTTTTGCGTGTTTGAGGTTTTTTTTTTTTACACATTTCAAAATGAACATTTTAGGCCCGATTATTGCTTAACACGCCAAAAAATGATAGATTTTCCGAAAGAAGACACCCTGTAGAATAAAATGGTAGTAGTTGCAATGTCTTTCATTGCATGATATTAGTGCATCTGTTTATCAAACACAAATTTTCAGCAAAAACAAGACTTACAGCACAGAAACACAATATATTACCCATTTTTATGTGTGTAAAATATGAAAGATAAGGTTCCGCAGAGTTACTGCAGAGGTGACGGCCCACTCCTTGTCTGTCTTCCCCTGATAAGAGAGAGCACGAACCGGATGAGTACTCATCTTATTATATTGCTGGTGCATGTGTGAAGTGGAGAAAGAATGGGAATATAGCCAGCACTCTTTAAAGAAAAGACAGCAAAACTTTAATGGAATATTGGCTTGATAGACCTAAATTATTTATTTCATATAGACAATGCAAACTAACACCATATAATTACTAATAATAAGTCATAAGATAAATTAGCCTACTACTGTATCAAACAGAGTTAGTCTCTATGACTGTCTTAAACTCTAATCCATAACCAAGTTAAAGCAGTACTCTGGGCAGAATTTGTATTAACCCTTGATATGGGACTACCCCCCACACTGCAAGGGTTAGCTGCTCATTTTGGTCTAGGATAAAAAAAAAGTTATACTCACGCGATCCTTAGTGTCAGTTTATTCTTAGAATGGTCCCTGGAGCCTATGTCTCCCTCTGCTGCAGCAGTCTGAGGTCCCGTAAATTATCACATTCTATACACAGTGTATAGACTTGAGAACGCTGAGGAACAGTCCAATGCTTTAGTGTAGGAGGACACAGGCTTCAGTGACCGGAGAAGCAGGCAGCTGGCTCGAAGGTTCGGGTGAGTATAACGTTTGTTTTAGCACCTATACAAAAACGAGCACTTAACCTTTGCAGCGCAGGAGTAGCCCCACTGCATGGGTTAACAACACTTTTGCCTGGAGTTCCTCTTAGAAAAAAACTAGTTCTCTTCCTATCAAAAGAGACTGAAGCACATAACTAAAAGGCCGTGATGGGGACCATGAATCCGAGTTGCTTCTTCTAACTGGCAACAGTAATGAATCTTACTCTCTTTTACAGGAATCCAGGGGCTGCCTATCCAGACTGTTGGGAACCCGTAGTCAGCAGTTGATTCACGAGTAACACTCATCTGAAGGGCTCAGCATGCACAGGTAAGTAATCAAGCAAGGGGAGAAAAAAGGGGAATGGAAGAAAAAAAACAGCAGCACACACACGCCACAACAAGCAGCTGCTATAACGCCATGTTGGGAGCACCACAATTGCTCGGCTCCAATTTCATTAAGCATTGACTTTGTACTTTCTTTTTATTCTGTGATTGTTTTTTAATATGTTAATATGCACTTTTTGACTTGGCAAGAAAATGTATATTATATTATGTTAATGTTTTGATTTAAGGGACAAAAGGCTGTTAGTAACTTGAACACTCACTTTTCAAGTTGAACACTCACTTAAGGTGCGCATACACTGCACGATTCTCGTACGAGAATCGCGGGAAATCCCGCGATCGTATGAGAATCCTGCAGTGTGAATGAAGACGTGCGACTGTTTCTACTGTACGGTCGCACGTCTTTTGTCTAAGGAGCATGCTAGAAAACCAGCCGAAAATCGTACGATTTTCGGCTGGTTTGAATGATGCTCGGGAGACAAATGCCGAACGGGCCGGTGTGCACACGCGCGCGCTGCCCGTTCAGCATTGCGGTCATCGGAAGCCCGCCCCTCAGGGGGGCGGGCTTGCGATGGTCGCAAGTATGATCTGCCTGTCCTAGATGGCCTGATCGTACTTTTTTAAATTACTTTACAACCATCGCAAGACTAAGGTCTCGCGATGGTTGTAAAGTGTATGGGCACCTTTAGTTTAGTAAATTAGGTGAATCTGTGTTCAGTTCAATTAACCAATCATCGTGGTTGGGTATTATTATTTACTAGCATTTACTTTGCAAAGTGAATGTTAATAAGTCAATATTTCTTGTTATTGAATGTCACCTTATTATTATATTGCTCTGCCCCGCCTTCATGTGCTTTACTGTTCTTGTTATTTGTTGCATTGTGTTATTAATGTAAGTGGTACTTTCTGACATCTATTGGTGGTGTGGTGCCACGGCAACTTGATTATTTGTTCCATTGGTATATTAACTTGCACCCTCTACTGTTTAGAGCTAGTTAGTACAGTCTTAGGTCTACCATTCCTTCTTTTCCCATGTTTCCTCAATTCGTTTCAGTCCATTGCAGAGACAAGGTTTAGGAAAGTCATTGTCTTCTTACAGTTCAAAAGCTGGAAAAAGATCCTCTGTACTGCAATTATCGGAAGTAAACGTTTGTTGGATTAAACTTCTCTGTCTTATTGAAGCATTAAGCTGCCTGTGGATTCTGCCATGTCAGCAAGTGCCCATAATGTCTGCTAGTCAAGACTTTTCAGTTCAGGTCTACCATGAGTTCAACTCAAACCCAGCCTGTTTGCAGTTGGGTAAACAGGCAAAGGAAATTGCCAGATTTGGCCAGTTTACCCGCCTGCCTGAACCTCCGGCTAATGCAGCCAGAAGCCAATAATTTAGCAGCAGTATCACTACTGCCACTAAATGACAGCTTCCCGTAGGTTTGATTCTGGCATGTTGGACCTTGTAGAAACCTGAGCCGTGTTTGCGCATGCAAGTAAAATACCCTACGCATGTGCAGGCATGCTGCAGATCTATGCCAGTTACCAGATACATAATGTATACTTGAGAAGTGTGGACTACATTTGGGAAAGACTATAGGGGAACATATAAAGGTAAAATTATGGATGGACCGACAGGATGGCAATATTATTAACCAATGCTACTTTACTTATAATGAAGTATGAGCTTTATAGTAATATAAAGTTCATACTTTAATATAAAGCGGGCAGCACAGTGGCGTAGTGGTTAGCACTTCTGCCTTATAGCACTGAGGGTCCCTGGTTCAAAACCCAGCTTGCGTGGGTTTCATTTGGGTACTCCAGTTTCCTCCCACACTGCAAAGACATGCTGGAAGGTTAATTGGCTACTCTCTAAGTTGGCCCTCTATGTATGCATGTGAGATAGGGACCTTAGATTGTAAGCTCCTTGAAGGTAGGGATTGATGTGAATGTACAACTATGTAAAGTGCTGTGTAAATTGTCGGCGCTATATAAATACTTGTAATAAATAATACAAATAAATAAATGTAGCCCCTATAGACATATATGTATATGTATGCTATTACAGTGATTCATGTTCCTGACTGCGAACAGTTAATGGCCTCTGTGTGTCCTGGAGGCAGGACTTATGGGGATTGAAGTGCAGAGCTGACTCTGGAACTTTGCTAATAGAGCTCTTGGAACTACACATCCCAGGAGTCTGTGCGAGAGGAAGGAGGAGGGGTATG